AAAATTCGTGTGGCTTTTGCACGTTCGATGAGGGGTGCGGCGGGTGGCAGTGTATTATCGAAGGGTTTTCGGATAAGGGGTTAATTTTTTTCTCTGAAACGAATGCAAGCTCAGGAAACCAGCGTGGCAGAAGGCTCGTAGTCGGTTCTAGATGGACTAGACAAATGAGCATCGCTGGAGAAATTGAGAGGGCAGAAGAATATGAGCAAAGGAGCAGGTGAAGGGTTTTCGGATAAGGGGTTAATTTTTTTCTCTGAAACGAATGCAAGCTCAGGAAACCAGCGTGGCAGAAGGCTCGTAGTCGGTTCTAGATGGACTAGACAAATGAGCATCGCTGGAGAAATTGAGAGGGCAGAAGAATATGAGCAAAGGAGCAGGTTTAAGAGGAAATGTGGAAATAGTGGGATGGTCACAACGTATATGTTGGTTGTGGTAATGAGAACGGAGCTGAATTTGAGTGTAGAATGAAGAAAGACGGTTACCTCTTGTGGACTTCTGAGAAATGACAGTTGTGTGCTTACTGCACGAAACGTACCGTTTTTGTCCTGTGTTACAGCCTTTGTTCAGTCGAATTAGGATGGAGGGGTACTAGCAGTTAGAAAGTAAGATCCAGAATCTTTTCTTTTCATACGGCTCCTGCTGTTGTAAATTAATTGACCAATTTACTGTTGTCAAGTAAAGTGCACAACTATTTTCTTTTCCTTTATATACACTTACATTGTTTTTGTATAGTCATTTTCACTCTTGTCCATATTTTGTATTGACTGTCGTTGTTTGTCCCACAGATTTTTCCAACAAAAAGAAGGAAAGGAAAGAAAGGAAAAGGAGGATGGAAGTTTTTTTTTTCTTTAGGAAAAATATTAAAGGGTCTAGCTTTGTTTGCAATTTGTGTTTGGAAACTAAAGATACTTCCTTCTTAAGTAATAATAAAGTATTGGGTGTTGATTTATTTTTTTTTTTCACCACTTGTAAGTACAGTGGGGAATGATCACTGCATTTTGTTAATTGTGATTTTTCTTTTCCCATTCATCATTTGAGTGTGCCCAAATAATTGTTTCACAAAAGAGCATGATCCTGAATGCCTAACAGTGACCTCTAACTTTCAAAAGTTAATGAATTCATTACAGAAATGCTGAACAGCAAAGATTCTCAGCTTCTGTTTTTCCCAAGGGCATCTTAACATGAGAGTAAAATGACAGTTCTTGGCAAGTTTCAAGTATCGTGCCTTACATTGAATAAAACTACATTAAGGGTTTGATTCTTTTGGTTAAAATAGGAAGCTTTGTGAAGGGAGGCTACATCAAATGAATTACTTTTCCTATTGGAATCCAAAAGATTCAAAGATTAATATTTAGTTCAATAAAACATGGAAAAAGACAGGCTAAGATGTAGATTAATTAAGCGCAGTATGTTTACTTTTTGAGGATATTTTTAGAAATGGAAAAAAAAAATCTCAATAAAAGCAGACACACGGATTTAAATAATTTCAGCATCCTAAAATAATTCTCTAGGATCCTTGTATTCTGGAGTTTTTCTTTGAAAATCTTCAAAACCAGGTTTTTAATAGGAAAATATACGTACATGGACTCTGAAAAAGATGGAATTTATATTTAAGATCTAACTTTAGATTTCTATTACTCGAAAGAAACTCTGAACACTGGCTTTAAGTCTCTTGAGGAGGAAGTAAGCCAGCAAGAAAGGGGCTGGGGGAAAGAGGCTGGAGGAAGAATGGCACTGGAAGGCAAAGAAACAGGGAGAACTTTCATAATCACTTTCTTTTTCCATACTTATACCATAGTGCGTGTGTGTGCTTTCATTGAACTATCAGGTCCAACACCTCGACAATGTCAAGGGCCAGACACGACACTGGGAACGCTTTTCCCTTTCCCTTTGCTCCGTGGACCACAACAACCTCCTCTGTGTACCGTAGGAGCAATTTTTCCCTATGGTCAAAAGCAACAGCTGCCACCTTTCTCACCACAGCAGGCTCCAGAAGAACAATTGTCTATTAGACAGAGTTTGCTGACCAAAATTGTTCCCTGTACGAGCTGAGACAAAGACATCGGGCTCAGAAGCATGTTGTGGACTGAATTTGACCCATGGAGCACCAGCTGGAGCACACTGAGCAATGGAATTGATGTCTTTTGAGGACATACCTGCTCTGTCATTCTCTCTATAAAGGAAGAAATGCCTGTCTTGGAAATATTTCTTTTTAAATGGTCTGGGTTAGTTCAAAAGTCTGTCCTTTCTTCTACAGGAGCCAGGGTCAGGTACCTCGGAAAGAATGTAAGAGGATGTACTATCTTTTCAGAGCAGTCTAGGAATTGAGGACTTCCCAACACAAAAACAGTTGTCTCGTATGATCTTGTACAAAAACTTGTCCGGTAATAGCTTTTTACATTGAGACTGCCTCCTAAAACTGTGTTTGATCTCTTCCTGAGTTATGTCAGAGGTGACGGGGGAAAAATTGATCCCTGTTCATTCTCTCCATCCTCTTAATGATTGTGTAAATCTCTGAAGTACTTTCTGTTGTCCTTTCCCCCACCCTTCCACCCCAGTCCAAAGAACGCCAGTCTAGTTAGTTCCTTGAATGGAGTCCATTGCTCACTGCAGCTGATTGTTACTAACTCATGATGACTTGGTAGAACAGGAAAAGGTTTTGGCAAGTGAGCGAACAGAAGACAGGAGAGTTTATAACTGTTGAGAGTGCATAGAGTGTGTGTGCTTCATGTTATTACAGAGTGGTATAATGAATCTTTGTGTTTTGTTCTCTGCTCCACCTCTGCTAAATCCTGTCATTTCCTTCTTTTTCAGCTGCTTCTTGGCTGATGTTTTTGTTAAACTGTTACGTCTCCAGAATGATTAGATCAGCTCACAACTCATCACTGTGTCTATGAAGTCAGAAGTGTGTGTTACTTCACATTTATTAAGACTGAAAT